GCCAAGTCACCATCATCATAAGTTGTATCCATATTTTGCAAATCTGTGACCAACTTATTGAAACTGGTGATATGTTCATTCATCGTGGTACCAGGAACATAGGTGAAGTGAAACAGTCTCTTCTTCATGTACAATTTATTTTGACTGTTTTTCTTCAAAAATTTATCCTCCAGTGCTTTCCATAATTTACTTGCAGAAGTTTCCTTTGTGTATGGATATTTCTGCTCTCTAGCAAGGTAGGATCGAATGGTACCGCAAGCAACACGGTTGATAATTCTCCAATCTTCTTCTCCAATAACATCTGGTTTCTTTTCTTCAATGGCCAGATCTAGCCCTTGTTGAAAAAGGACATCTAGAACCTCGCCTTGCCACATCCCAAAATGTCCGGACCCGTCAAATATTTCTACCGCAAATTTCGCATTTGACACAATTCTTGTCATAAGCGAAGATGCCAATGATGACGTATTGTTGACACTTGATGTAGATTCTTCTTGTTTATTGTCTCCCATCTTTGACACAAATATTATTTAATAGCTGACGACACAAATCAAGATTATTTCCTTTCTGGTGTGGAAGATCAGACTAAGCTGCAACCACAGAGCATACTCAGACAGAACCTTGACTCAGTTACCAAGATAAATCTTTTCTGATGTGGAAGATCAGACTATGCTGCAACCACAGAGCATACTTAGACAGTACCTTGGCTCTGATACCAATTGTTGCGGAAGCCAAATGTATATAGTGTGAATAAGTCACAACTACTATACCAAAAATTATGACAGCCACCAAATAATAAATAAGACAATAAAGCAACAATAAAGGGAACACCAGAATTTACGAGGTTCGGCTAATTTTGCCTACTCCTCGGACACAACCAAATATTTTATTCCACTCCAAAAATACAAGTGAAATAATACTAAAGAGAGAAGATACAAATGCCTTAAACAGATGAGAAGGCAAATGAGAGGTGTGTTTCAATCCTAAACATTAGGCCTTCTTTTATAGGGGAAAAATCCCCTCCAAACTTAACTCCCAACCAATGTGGGACTTTGACATTTTGCCAAACTTCAACAGAGGGAAAGCTCTTGCCTCTGTTCGAATGTTTAAGCACCTCAAATGAACAAGCATGCCTATTTCATTCAGCAAAGAATCTTTCAAAAATATTCTGCGCAGCTCCAATCTTTTAAGAAGCCTCAAGTATCTTAGGTGACAGTTTTCGGAAAGATTGCTGGGCTTCGGATATGCATCCATGTCTACCTTCAAAGAGAGGAGGTGTTTAACATAAGGATTTTTCTTTTCTGGGCTGAACAGGACAAAATTTTTGTCTGAACGATCATAAAGAATGGTCATTCCCCGTGGCATCAGATCTGAAGAAGAGGATGGATCACTTGAACTTACAAAGCCAAACAACTTTTCCTTTTCAGCTTTTCTCGAACAAAAATCATGCACAAGATCATGAATTTTGATACCCGGGTCCCTGATACCTCTCTCATTGAAAAGCATTACCAAGCTACTAGAAATTAACTTATCCACATAAGTCTCCTGTACTTTTTCCACACTCTTCATGTCATTTTGTTCCACAAATCCTTCGGCACTCCATAAGTCTTTCAATTGAGAGATTTGAATATCTTTGTCCTTTGGATAGCTTGCGAGGTAGAGAAAGCACAGCTTTAGGTGATCCGATAAATGGTCATAACTTAACTGTATAACATCCATCACTTCCCCTTCATTCTTAAAGGATTTCAAAATATTTAAAACTTCCAGCCACAAATCCTCTTTCTTTTCCATCTTCGCAATGACTCCACCGATCAGATCAAGTGCCAAAGGAAGCCCCTCACTCTTTAGGGCTATTTCTTCTCCAACATCCTTTAGTTCGTTAGGGCAGCTTGCTTCTCCAAATACCTTCTTCTCTAGTAACTCCCAACTTTCTTCTTGTCTTAGCAATCGAAGGTTAAGAGGATCACTATGACGTTTTCCATGCAAAGCCACTTTCTTTTCTCGACTTGTTAAAATAATTCTACTTCCTTTCTGAAAATCTTGAAAAGGCATTGTTAGCTCGTCCCATGCTTTAGTATCCCACAAGTCATCCAAAACAATAAGATACCTCCTACTGTGCAGCTTTTTTCGAAGCTCATCATAAACATCAAAATCCTCGGTAAATTCAGCATCTATACCAGTGACTTGATTAAAAATATTATGCAACACCTTTTTTGTTGTCATACTCTTGGTCGACTGTGCACCATGCACGAATATCAAAATGACTAGTAACTGACTTATCATTGAATACTTTGTACGTAAGAGTAGTTTTACCTGCACCAGGCATGCCAATGATTGAAATAACATCTAGCTCTGGTAGTCGATTGGTAAGCTGTGAAATTATTAGGTTTTTCTCCTCCTCAAAGCCTACAATTATTTTCCCAACTTGCTTTTTTGATGACTTTCTTTCAACTGGGTCGTTGGGAGAGTTTACAACAATAAGACTCATGTTTTCCTGTACCTCTTTCTTGATAACCTTGATCTTTTCTACGGTATCAGGAAGTAAGAAAATAAGCTGCAAGAGACCATGATCTCTGACAAGAATTGAATTGATGACATGTTCTGCCTCATATGCCACATCTAGAACACGAGTCCAAAGATCCCTATTCAATTCTTGCTCAACATTCCCAAAGAACGATTTTATGAACTGTAGGTATTCTTTCACCAACCCAATTTCTTCCTTTATCAAAGCAACTGCATAAGCATTGGAATTGAGCAAATCATTCAAGTTTATGAGTAGAAGATTCATGAAGAGTGATCCATCACTCTTGGGGAAGCAGAGCTGATATGAGTCTTCAGGGGCTTTCAAGAAAACATGTTTGAGATCTTTCTTTAGGAATTCAATATTTCCAGCAAATCTAGACTTGCAGAACTTGTTTCATTCGTATTCTCTTCATTCCTTGAGTTCTCTTCTAAGTTTCGAACAAGAATGGATACGTCCCTGGTAAGAGCTACAACACGTGATAAGAATACAAACAGTTTGTCGTGATGAATAATGTCTTTGGGCGCATCTGTAAGAATAATCAATAGAAACTCTATCATGACATAAATGTTTTGAGCTGAAGTGCTAGCAGTAATAACATTAACCCTATGCTCTTGTAGATGAATCAAATATTTTCTAAGAATGTTTGGAGAGGCTTCTAAGAGCTGCTTATTGAAGTGTCCAACTTCTGCTGATTTTGAAGCTTTCAAATTTGTACAACATATGTGCATAAACTCCAGCTGAACAGGAACAATCTCCAGAAGCAGATGAGCTAGCTTGACTTGAGGGACGTCGTCTATCAGATCAAACTGATAAGCCAAAAAGGCAAAACAGAAGTGTCTTACTCTCTCAGCCATAAGTTGAAACTGAGGTAAGACATATTCAATTGTCTCATACTCAAATGTAACCATTTACTTTTAGTCCATGGAAATCTGTTAAATTACCACATACATTCTGAAGAACCCCATATTCTGTTTTTAATGGGCAAATCAACTCAGCAAACACCTTGGATTGATCATGGAGATACACGAGGAGGGCGTCCAAAAGTTCGACCAACTGAACCTCAGTCATAGTGGCACTTGGTTCAGAATTATGATATGAGCTGAGACAACTTTCCATTTTTTCCTGGAGGCAAGGAACGACATCATCCGTCAATTTACGCAGCATGTCATCTCCACACTGATGAAAAAGTGACTGAACCAGATCATGAAACTCATACAATCTGCAAGATATTTTGGCATCCAAACCACCGGGAATGAAATAAAAAAGCTGAAAAAATGACAATATAAACTTCAGCCCCATTGTCAGGTTTTCATTTTCATCTATGTCAAGAGCAATTTGATCTCGTCGATTCTTTAGCCTCTCTATGAAATTCAGCAGATTGTCAATGTCCTTGTGAAATATAGCAGATGTCACCTGCCAAAAGACCAAATGTGTATCATAATTTCAATGCCGCATATTCACCATAATAAATTTTACTCTAAATTAACTGGCAATACTGGATAAGCTAAATGTTTATCCTGTAGTTATAGCTTATATCACAAAGCAAGCATGTTAAAGAAATATGGTTTACTTTGTACTCGCTCCATTCCAATTTATGTGAACCAATTTGACTGGGCACGAAGTTTAAGAAATAAATGAAGACTTTTAAAATTTGTGGTCCTCAACAAGCCATAATATTTGTGTGGCTATAATTCTTTTGAAACTTGTGATGTTAAACATGTCAAAGTATTTGTATGACAATAAAAGCTTTTCATAGAGGATAGAATTGAAAGTTTAAGTTAAGTTGTTTTCAAATTTAGAAAGAGTTCATTCTTTTTGGAAGGAACCAAAAAGGAAATAATTTCACATAAACTAGAACGGATATATGTTATTTACTCAAAATAAGGGTGAACCAAGTTCAACTGAAAGAAAAAAAGTTTTTCCAATTTATCTTTTTGAACCTTCGTACAGTCGAGTTTTATTGATCAATCCATCAACCAAATATTTAGTTACGTCCTAAACCTAATATTAAAAAAACCCCTCTTTAGCTGCGATGAACAGTAGCAACGCAACAGTTCACCGGCCATAACTCCATATTCCGGCAGTGGAAATTCACCAAATTGGTCGCAAAAGAACCCCCTTCTCATTGCGAACAATACCCAGTTAGATTCATCCCCAAATCAATAGCCAATTTTTCCAGATCTTAATTTTCATTTCACGTTTACTGTAGAACGCAGAAATTTTTATTAAATTCATCTGCTTTTTCACGTCAATGGAGTTTTGAAGAACTTAATGGATGTTGCGACCTCTCCCCAGCCTTTGGGAGAGGCAATCCAAAACAATCAAGAATCAGTTCCTCATCATAATACCAAGCAGTCTTATGCCTCTTATCTACTGTCAAAACAATCTGCCGCAAAATCGTCAAAACTGGAGCTTTGTCCAGTAACGTTTGAAATTGGTGAATGTGGAATTCACCATTGAAGAGGTGAATGCTTTCACAATGGAAGAAGGTTTACATCAAGCTGTAATCCTCAAATTTTCGTATGGGAAACCTGATCTACAGGAACTACGACAGATTATTTCCAAACAATTTGATGTCAAAGGCTACTATAATATTGGACAACTGGAATATCGGCATATACTGATTAGGTTTGATTTGTTTGAAGATTTTGTTCAAGCTCTGTCAAGATCGACAGGTTATATTAAGGCGAAGGGTGACGAGTTCTTTTTTAGAACATTCTCATGGACAATAGGCTTTAATCCGCGTGAAGAAACATCGAGGGCAGTCGTATGGATCTCTTTACCTGACTTGCCTGCAAATTTCTTTGCAAAAAGGTCGTTAATGTCCATCGCTTCAGCAGTTGGAAAGCCTTTAGCAGTGGACAAAGCAATGCAAGATCGAACGCGACCAAGTACGGCAAGGGTTAAGGTCGTGCTCGATTTACTGGACAAGCATCCAAAGAGAATTAAGATTCATATTATGGATAAGAATTCTGGGAAAGTTGTTGAGCATTATCAGGAGATAGTATATGATAATCTTCCAAAATATTGTACCTATTGTAAGCATCAAGGGCACGATGAAAGATCATGCCGTTGGAAGACTGTGAAAAATAAGGAAAATGTAGTTGTTGCGACTGAAAATGAAGGTCTGGGCAATCTGGACAAATTGCAAGATGATGCCAGGGATTTTCTTAATGCAAAAAGGGCTGGGCAGCTGGAAGATGAAGCAGCGAAAGCAAGTTTGGTTGAGCAATAGATTTCACAAATTGAAGGAAGAAAACAAATTATGAACAAAAACAATGAAGTGGTAATGAATCGAGCAGCGGTGGATAACAATGCAGGTGAAGTCTCAAAGCGTGATAAGGGTCCACATCCTCCCTCTCGATATGTGCCTGCTAGGATAGCTTTGGCAAGGATTTCCAATGCTGTTAATCCAATTGTGCAAGCCTATGACGAGCTTGCTAGTGCTGCAGCTATTTTGTCAGCTGGTGTAAGTTTAAAGGGTGTTGTTGCTCGGGCTGAGGAATATGCTACATGTTCAAAAAGTGATCATGTTGTGATTGATACACAAGTAGTTGATCGAGATGCTAATGTCCCTGATGCTACAGCTTTTCATAAGGAGCAGGGATTTGAGCAGGGGACTCAGGCTCAGGCAACTGGTGTAGGTACAAATTTGGAGTCTACTACTCCATTGAAAACAACTGTTGATCGAGTTGATGCACTTGTTGAAACAGTTGAGAAATCAGCATCAGCAGGTACAACTGCTGTAGATGTATCTAACGCTGCTTTAGTTCCAGCTGAAGTTGCTTCAAAACCTACTGATGTTGTACAAGATAAAAAGGAAGTTGGGCAGCATATTATTAAGGATAATTGGACAACAGTTTCCAGCAAAAAAGGCACTCCAAACAGCAAAAAAATGATGCAGGTTGAGCAGAATTCCACAAAATTTTCAAATCCTTTCAATGCTCTAGCCAACGTGAATGACTATCATGAGAAGATTGATAACACAACAACCTTAATTGATGGTTCTTTTAACCAGCAAATAATACCAATTTCAAGCAGTAAAAAGGGAGGCCGAACCAGCAATAATTTGGCTAAGTTTTCCGGAGATCGACAAAATGCTATAAATAGCAACGTGGCAGAAGTGTCAAAGGGCGAGCTACTACCCAGGTCTAGCACTCCCGCGATTCTTGTTTCCATTCCACAAGTGCAGAAAATTATCAAATAATCACAGATTGAAATGATGATGTATGCCAATCCTATATTCAAGCAACCGTTGGTAACGTTGAATACATCGGCGTATGACATTCCATCTCAATCAGTGGAGTCGTTTGGGGATGTTGAAGGTGAATCTGGGCAGCTCATGTTGTCAACGGGGAATAATAACGAGGTGATACAGTCAAATCTGAGGTTGATGGCTATCAAATCCAAGCTTTGGCAACAGCAGCGTGAGGATGACAATGAAGAGGATTAGGGCGATGGTTTCGCTGGTTATTCATCAGAAGAAGCTGATAATGAGGTTGACCGTGATAGTAAGGTATATGAAGTATGTTAAAAGTTATTAGTATTTAAGTGAAATGAGTCATTAGGTGTGGACCTAGAGGATTACACGTGTAGAATGAAAAGGGGGTCTCTAATGTTAGTAGTGTAACATCCCGTACTTTAGTATTAGGATGAGTCGTAGTAATCCATATGAGCTTGAAGGGATTAAGGTCATTCATGAGGTTATAAAGGATTTGTGGCAATGTTATTGTAAGACCCCCCTAGTTTGACAACCTTGACACCGTTAGATACATTTTGATATGATATTTTCTTTTGACTGAAATATTTTTGTAAAAAGTTTGAAAAATATGATTTTGTATAGTTATTAATATTACTACTTCCGGATATCTTTTATTATACATATAATATGAAAAAGTTTTATAAATGAGATTTTCTTTATTGTAAAGATAAAAATTATTTTCTCAAAAGAAAGGAATGTTATCTTTTTTACCGTTTTGAGAATTAAGCGTACGAAAATTTGTGTTCTTTATATGAGATTAGGAAAATTAGAAATTGATAAAATATATGTATTTTTTACATAGATATTTTAATGAAATAATAGTGTATGTATTAATTTTATATATAATACCATAATTTATTAATATCTTAATATTTTAATAGTAGTACTTTACGACGAGGACGAGATTTCTAAGTTTTCTTAACATTATCCATGCTAGTACACGTGATAGTGGCTACTAAATTAGACATCTATATATTATTATATTAATAAAATTGTTAGAGGTGGGGGATACGTGTCGTGTTTAGGAATTGGAAACAAATGTTGCAGCATGATAGATAGTAATTACTACTATGTACTTCCATGTGTTTTTGGTCTTATCCTAATATGAACTCTTATCTTAAATAGGTCCAATATAAAAGAATAACTCTTGGTTATTATATGTATTATGAGATATTTTTGATTTATTAATATTTTATATACATTAATTATTAAATATGGAGATAAGTATGTGGTAGATATGTTTTGTATTAGTAGGCAATATTTGTCACAAATATAGAACTCCCACCGCCAATACATGGCCAGGTGGAAGCCAAGCGTTAAATGTCCATTTGCTTTCATTTTGGCAATAGCTGCTTATAACATTAACACTTCTTTTTTGTGTGGAGAATGAATTAACTGTTATAAATATATTATATTATGGATGTTCATTTAATACTCCGTTGTAAATAAGCTTCCTGAAGAACCTTATCCGTATGGGACTCCACAGTAAATATGTTTATCTATTTAGTATTATATTAGAAATAAGCTTCCTGAAGAAGCTTATCACTTCGGTACCCGGTTATGGATAAACATTACCCCCAGTAGAAGTTTATCCATACCGGGTATAATAAGCTTATCTTTTCAGTACCCAGTTATGGATAAACATTACCCCCCGGTAGAAGATTATCCATACCGGGTATAATAAGCTTATCACTTCGGTACCCAGTTATGGATAAACATTACCACCAGTAGAAGTTTATCCATACCGGGTATAATAAGCTTATCCATTTAGTACTCCGTTATGGATAATTATTGCTCTCAGTAGAAGATTATCCATATCTGGTACAGCAGCAGCTTACACAGCAGCTTGTAGCAGCTTACACAGCAGCTTGTAGTAGCAGCTTACACTGCAGCTTGTAGTAGCAGCTTACACAGCAGCTTGTAGTAGCAGCTTGTAGTAGCATCTTACAGAGCAACTTCCTTTCTTCTATAAATAGAAGAGATTTCAGTTCATTATGTACATCAGTTTGAATTCGAATAATATATCAGTTTCTCTCTATACTTGTCTTTACTTTATAGTCTTTATTTCATAACA